CACTTAATCCTTACCCAGTGCAACTTCTACCTAGGAACTCCTAGACCCCTCTCACTTCCCTCAATCACTCACCAGTGACAACCTCAACAATCATGAACAATAGAAGATCACACTTCCAAAATAATACTTAGTTTGCTTAAAATCTTCACCCAAGAACAATACTCAACTCCATTGCTTAAAAGCTTTAGAGTGAGAACAACATACACAAGTAATATGTCTACCACAATGTATCAAATGATGCAAAGGGTGACTTACAAAGTCACACACGCAAGAGACTCTCAAAACATAAGTTTCTAAAACTTCCCCTAGTTTTTAACACAAGTGAAAAACCATCAATATAATAGGTTTATGTCTTCTTTAAATACTCCTCAGCAGTCCATGGGCTTCATAATCTTCACCCAATTCTAGCTTGATCAATACATTGAGAGTTGCATCAAATATGCAAAAACAATCTCCTTAAATCTTTGAACAAATCATCAAGTTTCTTAAATTGTCTCAACAACCAATTTAGAAACTTATGTACAACTGGAGATATGAAAACTTGTTCCAGATAAAATCTTCTTGACCTGTGTAAATTACTGAGATATATCCAAAAGAATTATCACAGAATCAAATCAAATCTTGTCAAGATTTAAAACAACCATAACTGATGTTTTGGTACAACATGCTACAACATCTATCAGGACATCTGCTCACAAGGTGACCTGTTTAGCATGTTACAATATCACACACAACATCCTGCTGTGAACCATGTTTTAGCAAAATTGTTTGCCAGTCCTAAAACCACGGAACCTTCACTAATAAGAAACCATTGATCAAATATCATGGAAGATGCCTTGCTCCTTTCTTCTGTGATATATGCAGCAAATAAAATTTAGGATTTTGTTACGCATATCTTTGTGGGTCCTGAAATGTCAGTCCAGCCAGGATTTCTTTTACTCCATGCCTTAATCTGATAGTAGTACCTTGATTCATTCCAAAATTTAAGTTCTAGGATGAGTTTTAGCACTAACAAAACCTATTCTTAGGAGAGTCTTTGCTTTCATTATCTTGGATTCATTTATCATCAAACATTTGACTTTATAATCCTTGATTTTAAAATCTCTGACAAACATAAATTTAGATAGTGTTTGCTATCTGAGGTTAGCATAAAATAAGTTTTCAACACTGTTTGAGTATTGCCAAAAAAAAGAGTTGAAAGGTTTCTCAAGGAATTGCCCTTTAACACAAATTCTATGACAACCTTCAACTTACTTAGGAGCAATGAAGTCACTTAAGATATGATCTTGAGACGCAGACTCTTTATTACAAAATAAATTTTTTCAAGACACTTGATATTCTCTTGAGAGATTTTTAGATCTTACTTTAAATGATCAATCTCAAGCTTCATGATTTCAGCTTGTTTATTAAAACAACTTGAGTGATCATGAGCTCAAAAAATATTGAAACGAGATAGATTAGAATTTACCTCTTTCTCTTCAATATTTGATTTATTCATGGATTCAGATGCTTCTTTAGAAGATGTAATGGCCAGCAGACCCAGATTACCCTTTTCATCTCTTTCTAAATCCTTAACTTTGTCAGCTTCATTCGGATATGCTTTGTAGAACTCTGGCATTTTGTTTTTGGGTTTTTCTGTCTAGTGGCTTTTCTCATTGTACTTAAGATTGGGAAAATCAGTTGAAATATGATTATTTCATAAGCTTCAGAAATTACTATTTCCATCAACATATTTCTCATTCCTAACCAGCTGATAGAATCTTTTGATAAGGAAGGTCAATTCCTCATTATCAGACATCCCATAGGATTTTTCTTCAACAAACTTGAGGAAAGTATATTTCTTTGACAACTTATCTTCATCTAATTCCATATCATTATTTTGAAGATTGCTAATCAGGATTTGAAGACTCAGCATACTCAAGTTTTTGACTTCCTGAATAGTTGTGACTTTTGGTCTGAATCTAGCAGGAAGACTTCTCAGAATTTTCTTAGCTTCTAACTCCAAGATGATTTCTATAAAGCTTCTTTTGAGCTGGTGTGAGGGATTTTCTATCTTTGATCATCTCAAAACCATAAAATTCAATGTAAATACCTTTCTCAAGGGTATTCCATAGATCTTTCATCAAAACCCTTTGTTAAGACCAAATATATATGAGTAAGCTTTTGCTTTTCCATAATTTAAATTCAGCTGAGTCACCACTAAATATGGGAGGATTAGCAAAGCAAAATCTTTTTCATGTGGTACTTGATTCCTTCTTTAAAAAATCTTCAGCAACCATATTTTTATCTTTTGATCTTTATCTGTAACACTATTAAGTGTTATGCACAAACCATGCTCTGATGCCAACTGAAGGTGAGAAAAATACACAAGAAGGGGGGGGGGATTGAATTGTGTTCTCCGTTTTTGCTTTGCTTCTGAATAGAGTTTAGATTCTAGTTATAATAACATAAGCAAATAAATAACAACAAAATACACAAGATTTATCCTGGTTCCTCCCAAATTGAGAGTAGTCCAGTCCTCTTGCAGCACAAGAGATTTTCCACTATAATAAAATCATGATTACAATTGCTTATGCCTTCAAGCATAATACTTTTTTGCTCAGACTCTTAGCCCGAGACTTCCTGCTTAAACCCCTCAGGTTCAAGACTTTCTTCTTAAATCCCAAGGATCCAAGACTTCATACTTAGAGCCTTAGCCCAAGACTTCTTGCTTAAGCCTCTCAGGTTCAAAGCTTCCTTTTTAAATCCCAGATATTCAATAATTCCCGCTTAGATTCCATGAATCCAAGACTTCCTTGGTTAAACCCCTCAGGTTCAAGACTTCTGCTCATACCCTTAAGTACAAGACTTCCCTGCACTAATTCCACGGATCCAAGACTTTTGCTTAGACCTTCAGCCCAAGACTTTCCTGCTTAATCAACAACTGATCAAGACTTCAGTGCTCAAGAAAATAGCAAGAGACTTATTTGGCTCAAGCTCACAGTTAGAGACTTTGATGCTCAAGCACATAGAAAGAGACTATCTTTCTAAACTACTAAACAAAATCTGTTTAGCAGAATATACAACAAGGTTTACTTGATACAATAAGAGGTACATGGTAATAACCATAACAAAGATCATAGCTCTTAAGATTTCTAAGATATTCAATATTTAAGAAATCTTAAGGCTTTGTAAAATTTACAAGAAATAACAAAATTTCTGCATACTCGATTGTGTTTCCATTGTTAATCTTGTTATTCTTCTATTCTGATAGAAGCGTGAACCACTTCTTTCTTCTTGGCTCTCTTTATTTATTTTCCTTGTTGTTGATTCCATATTGAATCTTCAGCTACTTATATAGTAGGTGCAGAATGATAGTCGTTGGAAGAGATAACTTGCACAAGTGTCTTTGTTACTCCATAGTACAAGAGACGTTGAAAATAGATACATCAAAAGATCTTCATCGATTGTGTAACTCTTTTAACCATAAGGTATTTCTTGTGATCTTGTACTATAGATCTGTTGAGAGTGGATATCCGTAAAGCATGTCAACTATTCTTGAGCCATGTGAGCACAAAGTCTAGCTGACAAACTGATTTGACATTATAGCTTGCATTTTGCAGTACAAATAACTTAGCTTTGTCACTGGTTCTGAATGATCACCAGAAGCTGATACATTCAACAAGTGTAGATATAATATATTTCTCTTCTGATGCTGATACCTTCAGCTTCAGAGTCTACACCAACCTATATTATCATATTTTACTTAGAGAACGTTGTTCAGTTCTGAACCACCAGAAGCCAATAACCCAACTTCTCTCAAATGCGTCCTTTTATCAAATTTTGGATAGATTCTTCTTAAGCTTTGAAACCTGCATACTTAAAATACACATTAGATAACACCATTGTTCTTTCAATACTTTTTTTATCTTCAAAACGTTAAGGAATACTTGTCATGAACAAATCTTGTTCTAACAAAACGTCCACAGACCCTTTCTCATAGTCGCTTCCATGTCTAGAGCATGAGTGAATTGGAACAAGAATATACCCTCTTTAGCTTCTTTGATGGTTACACCTTTCATCGACCTCCATATATCTCATACTCTCACCTTCATCAATTTCACATGGACGGGTCTGTCACATAAGAATCTCCCCACCAGGCACCATCGCAGGTCTCCTCCTTCCTCTCCATTTTCCTCTTTATCAAAGCAAAATCCTTTCTCTTCTCCATCTTCTTGCAACGACAAACCTTCTTATAACACACTTGACATTGTTCTCCAAAAACTAAGAGCCCGAGTTGTGGATTAACACTAAAGACCACTCTTCTCTATAGAGAAGTTTACCTAACCCTAGCAAAAACTACGAATTAATTTTATAAGAGAATTTACAACCTGCATTTTTATGAGAATTAATTATAAATAATTTAAAAAAAACTCTCAAAGAAGAAGAAGATTATTATAAGTTTAAAAGAAAAATATTATAAGTTTAAATCGGGTCTCGGTCTTATCATAAATATACTACATAAAACTTAAATAAAATAGTTTTAACATTTTTATATTATTAATTATATAATTAATGAAACTGTCAAAATAGACTCCTAGCTCTAAACAAGTTTGTCCCCATAGAGAAGTGTATTTAAAAAAGGGCTATAAGAGATTAATTAATTGTGTATTTAAAAATATTTTACTTGTTTTTAGGAGGAGTCAATCCATCTTATAGCATATTTCTAAACTTAGATGTGTGACAAATAATATGGATCTTATCTTTGTAGTATTCAAAGTCGTCCCGATTGAACAATGGAAATTTGTTACATTGCCACAAGTTGTGTGCCTCTCATTTAGAATTTGCCAAATATAGATTTTCTTTGGTTGGATGAAAATCATTGTAAATCACCTATAAAAACCACAACATTGTTCCATTACAAAGCAAGATCTCCAATAAACAAAGCCTCCCCTGCTTAATAATCACCAAAGGGGAGGATTTCAACTATTTTTTCGAGCAGAAAGTAAAAAAAAAAAAAAATGTCAGGAAAGGTATTTATATCGGTTGTTTCTCTTATCCTTGTCGTTGGTGTTGCCATCGGGGTTGTTATCGCTGTTCAGAAGAATGGTGAAGATCCTCAGATCAAAACTCAACAAAGATCTGTTCAAATTGTTTGTCAAAATACAGAAGATCAAAAGCTTTGCCATGATACTCTTAAATCCGTTAATGGCATGGAGAGCATGGATCCCAAGGCATACATAGCAGCGGCCGTGAAAGCCACCACTGACAGTGTTATTAAGGCTTTCAACATGAGTGATAGACTCTCCACGGAGTACGGTAGCAAAGATAATGGCATCAAGATGGCTCTTGATGACTGCAAAGATTTGTTGCAGTTTGCTATGGACAGTCTTGAAATGTCCACCAATTTGGTACGTGACAACAACATTCAAGCTGTGCATTCTCAAACTCCTGATCTCAGGAATTGGTTGAGCGCAGTTATCTCTTACCAACAAAGTTGCATGGAAGGATTTGATGATCAAAAAGATGGTGAGAAAAAGATCAAGGAACAATTTCATGTAGGGTCTTTGGATAGCATGCAAAAGATCACCGGTGTTGCACTTGATATCGTGAGTAGTTTGTCAAACATCCTTCAGGAATTCAACATGAAGCTTGATCTTAAACCGGCTTCTCGTCGTCTTCTTGCTGAGGATATTGACAATGAAGGATTCCCTTCATGGTTCTCTGCTTCTGATCGTAAGCTTTTGGTTAAATTGAAAGGAAAAGGATGGAGATCAAAAATTCAGCCTAATGCAATTGTTGCCAAGGATGGTAGTGGACAATTTAAAACCATTAAGGATGCTATTGACGCTTACCCTAAGGAAAACAAGGGAAGATATATTATCTACGTTAAGGCTGGTATTTATGACGAGTACATCACCGTCCCTAAGACTGCTGCTAACATCCTTATGTATGGTGATGGCCCTCGAAGGACCATTGTCACCGGTAAAAAGTGCTTTGCTAATGGTGTCAAGACCATGCAAACCGCCACCTTTGGTAATTATACTTACAATTAAAACTTTTTATTTATTTAATTATATTATATTATCAGCAATGAAAAGAGTATTTCTGTTTATATAGATATAATACTAACTGATCATGCATGCATGCAGCCAACACCGCACCTGGATTCATCGCAAAGTCAATGGCATTCGAGAACACAGCCGGTCCTGATGGTCACCAGGCCGTCGCTTTGAGAAACCAAGGAGATATGTCTGCTTTCGTCGGTTGCCATATCCTTGGTTATCAAGATACATTGTACGTTCAAACCAACAGACAATTCTACCGCAACTGCGTCATCTCTGGAACCATCGATTTCATCTTCGGAACATCACCAACCTTGATTCAACAATGCATGATCATCGTCAGGAAGCCTAACATGAATCAGTTAAACACAATTACCGCTGATGGAACAACCGAGAAGAACATGGTCACAGGTATTGTGATCCAAGATTGCCAGATCGTTCCAGAAGCACAATTGTTTCCAGTGAGATTCCAAATCAAATCTTACTTGGGAAGACCATGGAAGGCATACTCAAGGACAGTTGTGATGGAATCCACCATTGGTGACTTCATTCATCCAGAAGGTTGGTTCCCATGGACAGGTGAACACTTCGAAAACACATGTTACTATGCTGAATATGCCAACACTGGACCTGGTGCCGATGTTAGCAAGAGGATCAAGTGGAAGGGTTATCATGTCATCAGCCAGGCTGAAGCTAACCAATTCACTGCTGCTCAATTTCTTAAGGCTGGACCTACCTCTGGAGCTGAATGGTTGAATGCTCTTCAAGTTCCTCACTATCTTGGCTTCAAAGCTTGAATATTCTTATACATGTCTGTATGTCAGATGGCACAAGACAACAATTGTTATTCTTTGTAATTACCTTTCCTATTTTTATCTAGGAGATCCACCAGAAATAAAACAATTTGCTCGAATTATAGTATATAAAGCTTCATTTTTTACATTTTTGTCTTCATTTTTTATTTGATCAATCATGCATTTAATACAAACTATTCACCAAATCGATGGACAAAATCAAATATAATAAATTTACTCTACTATTTATTACTATTTCTTCTTCCAATTCTCTTGCTTTCTCTTTCCTATCTAATTAATGATGGACAAAATCAAATATAATTTATGTTTCTCATACGACATTAATTATGTTTAATTTGTGTGAACAATCTAAAAACCCTTATAATTTGGAATGAATTGAATAATATTTAAAGTTAAATTCTCCACTTTTAAAATTGTTTCAACAAGCTACATCTCTTAAATGTAAAGAGCCAGTATTACCGTGTTTCCTAAAATTTAAGGAATCAGTATGTTTCTACCATTGAAGATGCTCAAATTTTTGTTTGCTTGAGCTATTGTGTGAGACCAATTGTTACATTGCATTTAAGTAACATCTAGTATTCTAAATCAATTTTACTCTAGTCGTGATTTCAAAAAGTAATATACATGTGACTTAATCAATTTATATTTGGCCCCACCAACTATCATGATTAATATTATTTAGCGATACACTTCTTACATAATGAAACAACATACACAAAAATTTAAACAACAAAAACACCACACGTATCTACTCCAATGGTAAAAATGTTAAACTCTAGAATTTAAAATTCACGTATGCATTAAGAAACATCTATTGGAGATGCTCTGAGGAGCACAAAAGGTGCTTAACCTTTAATACAAGTAGAGAAAAACAAAAACAAAGGCCTAAAAATTAACCATATTTTCATCATTACTTTGCAATCGAGAATACACATCACATCAATCTTCTAATATTCTCACCTAATGTTTACTCATGCAACTGATTTGTTTTTATTTTTTTTATGTCTTGATATTTAATCTTATGTTCAATTAATCTAAGGAAACTAATCTCACTGCCTACTTGCCAGAGTTTTGTTTAAAGCCAGTTAGAACAACACTTTATATGAACTGGACCTAACATAAAAATTATTTGCATCTAGTGAGATTCAAACCTTAGACATTAAGAAGGGCACACTCTCATGACTCAAGTCTAACTACTAGGTTAATTCCTAAGGAGTTAAAAATATGATTTATATCATTTGTTCGATCCTAATAATAGATTTTATATTTTTAAAACTAGTATCATATACCTCTCAGTTTATGAACAAAACCGAGAGGAAAAATATATATATTTAATTAAATACTCATTATATTGTTGACACAAAATATTAATAAGTTAATTTGTTTACAAACTATATTATTTACACAAAATATTATATTATTTACACCGAATATTACATTTGTTCTTCATCGTCATCGTTGTCGATGATGAACAAATGCTAGATATCTTGGAAAAGAGTGAATATTGGAGATTCTCGTGTCATTAATCTTGAGGAAGATCAAATTTTTAATATAAAACAAAAAAGGTTAGATAAATAGAATAAATATTCTATAATTTTTGTGATAAACTTTTGCTACTTGACTGATAAACTTTGTAACTAGGTTAAGAAACTTTATAACTAGCGTAACTGTCATGTTTGGCGTAACAATGGGTGTAGATGAAGAAGTTTCTCTTTGCTCTCTTCTTTCTTTGGCAAGTTGTCTCCTCTGCCTAATTTTGCTGTTGAGCCTACACACAGTTCTCTCAATCTCGGGATCGAAAATAAGTTAATCTACCGACAAACTCCCTCGCATAAACAAAATCTGCACACTTAACCAAACAAATCAAATAACACAAGAAAATAAACAGAGGTAAGAGATCACAATACAAAGATCTTAAAATCAATAAAATATTGCAATGCTTGTAATATGAAACAACAATCCCCTACAACGACGCTGTTATGTTGAATTGGGTATAGGTGGGGGGGGGGGGGGGGGGGGGGGGGTTATGTGTATCGTCTCCACATGGATTGTTCTGGTATGGGATGCTTTTCGTTCAATAGTTTATTGTTTCAAAAAAAGGATTTTCAAAGTTTGTTTCATAAATTATCACGATTTAGTAGCAAAGAGTAAATTCTAAGATGTTTGTTTTAACAAAGTATATCAAAAGTAGTTTTCATCCACCCTAACTTCTATACATTCTCTTAATCTTGCATGTGATGTCGGATCTGATTAATATCATAACGTATTCTCTCAATACCGTTTATGTCTAGGACGGTGTCATGAATATGATTGTATCCATCATTAGATGATGTCTCATGCTAGCAACCGATACAATAATCGTTAAGAACAACACAAAACAAATATTAACTAACAAATCTATATCTAGAGTTTGTTTGTTAATAGATGAATATTTTAGATCAAAGTTCATAAAATCTATGTCTAGAGTGATACAAATAAAGAATGGATCTTTAAGAACAAAAACATTCATCATATATTGATCATCACTTGTTCACATACAAGGCCAATCATAAGAAATACATAAAAGCTAATGCAGACTATCTCTACCTTTGATACAAAGGAAATTAGCTACCCATTATCATGGTATCTTGATCATCAAGTAAGAAAAAAAGCTCTACTAGCATCAAAGTTAAAAGATCGATGATTGATGCTCCAAAGCTTTAATTTTTTACTTCCTTTATAATTTCTAAGCATCAAACCCTAAAATATCTTATCTAAATCTGAAAAGTGAATAAAATGAAGTGTGTCCCCAAAATATCTAGCAAGTCCCCTTTTATACATGTCTTCAAAAAAGTGCCATCAAGTGCCAATAAGTGCCATTGCGCTAAGCCATCTCAGAGTGCACTTAGGCTGGTCTTGGTCCCTTGGCTACTACCTCTTCATAAAAAGTGCGTTGATCCTGCATTGAAAAATGCGCTAAGTGCGTTTTTTCAGTTAGATTGTCGCGAAAATGATCTTCCAAAACTTCTTCCATCATCCACAAGATCCAAGCATCACATCAAGTAATAAAACCTATAAAAAAGAATCAAAGTGATCACAATTCACAATATTTACATGCATAATCGAAAACTTGCGTATTTATACTGAAACTTATGGTTTCACTACTAATTTATCAAAGAAACAATTGGGAAGTGCCACAAAATACTATCAAATATATACACGTTTTGGAACTTAACAACTCTCCCCAACTTATTATTTTGTTTTCCCTCAAACAAAAGTTTTCCAAACATAAACAAATCCAAAGCAACGTACAAGAAATAAGAATGAACAAGTTAGAATAACGACAAATTCATGGTTCAAAAAGTAGAAGTACAAACAAGATAGAGTTACCACAAATCAAAACAAATCATGAAGATGAAACTATTTCTAAGTGCAAAACACAAATCAAGACTTCTAAAGTAATACAACTCCAACATGAATCACACCTATACACACATTTATCAAGGGATGAAAACATTATGAGGTCTTATCTCTCACCAAAAATCCTGCAAACATCTAGGTCGAATTATACATTCAACAAACAACATGCATTAATGAGTATGAAAGAAGGAATCACAAGGACTTCAAAGGTTGTAACTTGGCTTGGGCTACAAGGAAGGTTCATTTATCAAAGTTATAGAAAAAAATGTCTAATCTTATGAGAGCGTTAAATTCTCACATTCATACACAATACAAGACCTTAACCCTCTTGTTTTCTTTTCTTTGAGGTATTATTACAACCTTGAGCTCATTTGTTGGCAATTCATGCCCTTTTTTCTTTTTCATTTTTCTCTTTTCATTGTTTATTTTTCAAGCTCTTTCATTATTTAGAACCACTTTATTTTTCAGAATATATCAATCTACCTCTTTCTCCCCAACTTTGAATAAAACCAAATATGGTGTTAAGAATGCTCTCACACATCTAAGGCAAGGAACAACAAAAGCAACCATACTTAAAGGTTGAGGTTCAAAGGTTTCACAACAAAAATCAAGATCCATTTTAAAATTCCATCATTTCTCATTTACAATATTTACACAATTCAATCATCAAGATGGATCTTAATAGAAAGGTTCAATGGGGTTAATAAATGCTCACTCACTCAAAAGGTATTTTGATCATTCAATTTGTTCAAGTGGTTTTTCTCAAAATAAAAAAAAATTCCTTGATCCTTTTCTTCCTTTCACACAAAGCAACACACATGCATGATTAAACATAATAAAATCGAGTTAAAACAAGAATGTCGCTTTCCCGCATATAGTATACAATGGAAGCTTCCTCACAAAATCTATGTTTTAAGTGATTCACAATTGAAAAAATATTTCAAAAGAATTCATGGTATCATGTTTTGAACAAATCACAAGTTTCATATTCATGCTAAGCTTAGAAAGCGATAAATATGCACCTTGCAACTATACTTCTATTCAAGCATTTCATTACCACTCAACTGTATGTCGATTAATCAATATTGACATGGTTCCTTCAAGTTTTTGAAACATAGTAACAAACAACACAATTTTGTTTCTACTACTAATAATTACAACTACACAACATAATAAAAATATAAATATCATAATATAAAATATAACACTCACACATGGTGTGTCAAAATAAGTTCACAAAGCCTCATCCTAAAAAGGACGGCCCAAAATCAATCCCAATGGAACAAGTCAACATAGAACAAAATAAGTCAAAACAACTTAAACATACACATAATAATAATAAAAACCAAATAATCAAACCCATCATCAACACATCACTCCTCCTCACTACTAGAAGAGCCCATCTCCCACTCAGCCTCTTCGCTATCATCATCATCTACAACATCATCCTGAGTATATGTAGCATCATCCTGAGTATATGTAGCATCATCCTGAGTTGTGCCCTCATGGGGTACCCGTTTTTGCTCCTGCGACTGCTGTTGTGGAACCTGCTCCCTCACAAAGTGAAATGGTCTGTCCTCAGG